GCTCAAGATGTAGGCTCTGAGTTCAAGCACTGGTACCACAAAAAAAAAAAAAAGTCAGTTTATAAGATCTGGTCAATTCTGAAGTTGTAAGGATTGCCATAGAATTTACTTCCCATTCACTCCTCTAAACCTATGGCATTCTTCAGTATTGTTCTTTTTTGGGGGGTGGGGGACCAGTACTGGGGCTTTGTTCTTGCTAGGTAAGAACTCTATCATCTGAACCGCATCCCAGTCCTTCAGTGCTGTTCTGTTTTTTAAGAAAAAAAAATTATATTATTGCTGAACTGGGGGTACATTATGACATTTCAGTGCTGTTCTTAAATATAGTCAGCCCTCTGCATCTGCAGATTCAGCCAACTGCAGATAGAAAATATTTAGGAAAAAAAATGCATGTATATTAACCAACTGCAGATTTTTTTCCTCTTATCATTATTCCCTAAAGGACATACTATAACTACTTACATAGCATTTACATTGTATCAGGTAATGGAAGCAATCTACACAGGTGATTTAAAGTATCTGGGAGAATATACAAAAGTTATATACAAATACTAAGACAATTTATATAGGGGACTTGGGCACTGGAGGATTTGGGGATTCTCAAGGGGTAAGAACAATCTTGACATCCCCCCAACCCTTTTTTTTGGTGGGACTGGGGATTTAACTCAGGACTTCACACTTGCAAAGCAGGCACTCTACTGCTTGAGCCACACCTCCAGTCCATTTTGCTTTGGTCGTTTTGGAGATAGGGTCTCGCCACCTATTTGCCTGGGCTGGCCTCCAACCTTGATCCTTCTGATCTCAAACTCCAAAGTAGCTAGGATTACAAGCATGAACCACCAGCACCTGGCTAGCCCTTACTTATTAAAAGGCAGAATGCTGGAGGCATAGGAAAAGCTTAAAAAAAATTATTTTTGCCAGTTCTCACAGTGGTGTTCAGAGCTAATGCATTTTGCCAAACAGATAATGTATTACAACTCCAAGGGACACTATTCTGACACACTCCAACTGAGTGGCTGAAGTGCTGCAATGCTCCATTACAGAAAGTGGCACACAATGGCAACAAACAATACATCTTTCAAAGTCAGCTTAGGACATCATTACTGTTTGGGGCAAACAAACAGCATTTCTGATGTGGAAGCCAAACTGATAATGTTTGACAACTAAGTGAGGCAATGAGTATTTAACTTCAGTTATCTGACAATGTGTTGAAACTGGAAAGAAAACAATGGCATCAAAAATGAAAGTGGCAATGTTCTAGTAGAAAGAAAATGAAAGATTTTTTTTTTTTTTTTTGGTAGATGGTACTGGGTCAATTAGGTATCTATATAGGGGAAAAAATTAACTTGACCCCCCTACTTCAAAACATACACAAAACTCAATTCTGGTTAGATTATAGGTTTGCAAAAGAAAAATAAAATACAGCTTTTAAAAGAAAACATAAAATGTCTTCATGATCTTAGGGGAAGCAGAGATTTTAGTTTTTTAAATAAGGCCCTGAGTTCAAATCCCAGCACTGACCAAAAAAAACAAAACAAAACAAAAAAACTTATGCTATTATATATCCAACAGAATTGTTAAAATAAAAAAGAAAGTATAAGTGTTGGCAAATGTGAAGCAATTAGAACTTTCATACTGCAGACAGAAAATACAGAAATACTATACAACACAGCAATTCTACTACCAAGTATATACTAACAGAAATGTAAATATGTATGCTTAGCATTATTTGTAATAGCCACAAAGAAAAACTCAAATGTCTACCAACAGCAGAGTAACCTATAGCACATTTACGCACCAATATGAATAAACTACTGTTTCATGAAACAATACAGATGAGTCTCACAAATATATTGAGAAAATCAGCTAGATACAAAAAAAGTATATGCCACTCAGTGCCTTTGAAATATAATTGGAAAAGAGGTTAAATTAATCTCCAGGCTAGAGGTCAGAACAGGCATTTACCCTGAGGGCAGAGATGGAGCTAGGAAAGGAAAAGGGTGTCTTGGGCCCTTGTGATGTTATTTCTAGGCTAAGTGCTAGGTTCACAGTTGTCTTCACTCTGTGGAAATTCATCATGCTATATGATTTATGCATGTATTTTATATTTTAACAGGAGTTTACATTATAACTTTTAAAATGGATTTTCCATAAATAATTATATATCAAAAAGGTGGGCAAGGATATATGGAATTCACATAGTATAAAATATGGCTATTAAATGAGACCAGTTATAAATCCATATATAGGAACTCATTACAGTAAGCACACTGTGAGTCTAATACTTATATTTGGTGTGTATGCATACCAATGTTATTTCCGGTTACTTTTAATATAAAATTGAAATGCACTGTTGATTCAGTTCCTTTCTTCAGCTTTGAGACAAATAGAAAAATAAACCAATCCTGTATAGAAATATACATCAAGCAATAAATACTATCAAACTGGTGAAAATGAAGCAGTTTTCTAACCCGATGTGATTAATGTTCAAATTTAAAAAATTAACTAGGGGTATCTAAATTTCAAAATAGGAATATAAGCTATTAATAAGTGGTAGATTATAGAATACTGTTTTTATATCATAAGTAGAACCACAAAAACACAAGACCACAAAATGTGTACTTACTGAATTTACATAGCCTTACATGGTTACGCACTTCTATTCTAGTTCAGATTTCTGTAACAAACTAGACACAAAGAAAAGTACTGAAAGGCCTGAAACTGAATTTAAATGGGCACAGATGGCATGTTTATAACACCCCCACAATATGCTGAGTGTTCTCCATAAAAACAACCAAGACACAGTCCCTGCCTCTAGGGACTTAAAATCTAAAAAGTACATGAGGCTGCCTAATTCAAAGAAAGTAAACAAATAAAAGGAAATAAAGACTGGAATGTCAGAGAAGAGGCCTGTGTTAATCTCCTGGCTCCCAGAAGGGTAAGAGTCCAATTTGAACAGTGGAGAATGAATGCTAACAAGTAAGAACTGCCTATTTACCATAAGATTTAATATGACACTATGCAATAAATATTTCCTAAAAAATTATGCTGACCAGACTGAAAATGCTTCACTGTTTTCTAGCTTCAAAAGGGAGAAAATCTAAATCTGTATAATAGATATAATTTATACCCCACTGGGTGTGTATAAAGGACACCACATAGCCCAAGCTTTGAGTCTGAAAGCATTATATCAAAAACCCCAGTTTGATCAGAAATTAATTAATGAGATATAATCATCTTTACCTCAAAACCCCTAAAGCAAGACAGTGAATCTTGCTGGACTGTATTTTTGGTGCCTGCTCTAAAGGATAGATGAAATAAAATTTGGTTTGTCTGTAAATGTACATTGCATGGGCTTACAGTTGAGGTTCTGATCTCCTTATCCAGTTGGCTGGAGCTATTTCAATAGAAAGAATGTCAAACAATAGTCAAAAATGTCTCCAAACACAGAGTCTCTTCATGCCCTTTAATTAAAGTACATCTTGGGTTTTTTTTTCCAGTTTTTTTATTAATCATACAAAATATTGGATTTCATTATGACATTTTCACATATGTATATGATGAAGTACAATATGATTTTAAACCAAGAGATACTTCCTGGAAGACTTCAAAATGCTAATAACATCCAATTAAGTTATAGAAACCAAATTCACTTCAAATATTGGTCCTGGCTGCTCTGATGTCTCTTTGGATGAGGTATCTCTGGCAAAGGTTGCTTATTTAAGAAATGAGTGCGGTCAAATTCCATAAAAAAGGAGGAAAATGAAGAAAGCAATGACCCTGTTGACTTTGTTGCATCTGAGTGATATTTAGTGCATCTGAACTATAAAGAGTGCAATTTAGAATAGAAGATTGAGGTCAGAATAAGAGACATTATCTACCTAATGCATCATATCCGCAACCACTTTCCCAGTGATTTCCTGACTGCTATCTTGCCTCTAGTTTCCAAAAAGCTTCATTTTAAATAGAAGGCTCTTCATCACTTCCTTATGTACATATGTCCATCAGAGGAATTACATAAATAAAAATCTATTTTAGACAAGCCCAAGGTAGCCAATTAAAAGCTGTATTTGAAGGATTGGTGGAGAGGCTTGGAACACCTGCCTAGCAAGAGCGTGGCCCTGAGTTCAACCTCTAATACCACCAAAAAACAAAAAAAATCTATATTTGAGGGTTGGAGGTGTAGTGTAGCTCAAGTGGCAGAGCAGCTGCCTAGCAAGGCCAGGCCCTGAGTTCAAAACCCCAGTACCATCTCCCCCCCAAAAAGTTGTATTGAATTTACTTTATGAAGTTTTCCAGTGAACAACACATTTATTCATTCCAATAACCCAAACTCTAAACCTTGTAATCATCACCTGACTCCTTCCCTTTCAGTCCAATCCCATCCTCCCAGGCCCTCACATCAATCAGTAACAAAGTGTTCAGTTCTTCTTTCCAGATCTCTCCCCGTGCAAGGGTCCTAGAAGACGGCTTCCTATATGACAGCTGAGGCTCAAAGGGAAGAAGTTCCTGGGAAGAGCTGCAGCAGAGACATATTAGGATAAGAAGCCAGGTAGACCCTATTAAAATACGTGAGACCAGACTGGATAATAGAAGGAGGAGTATGGTAAGACTGACTAGCCAGCAAACCAAGACTTGACTTGAAGGGCCAAACAGAGAGAGGCACTGGTGGGTCAGACCAAGCATAAGAGCCAGATAGAATAAACCCTGTAATTTTTCTCACATATCCCTCCTTTCAATGTCCTACCATCACCCAGACTCAGACCTTCCCTGGATATTGAATAAGAGCAATGTCTTAATTGCCCCATTGATCTCCTACTTCTCTACCTAGCACATTGTTGCCCAAATCACCTTCTTAAGAGTAACTTGCCAGCCTTTTATTGTTTTTAATTCATCTTAAAGTAAGACTTACAGCAGGGTGTGGTAGCCTATGCAGAAACCATCCTGGGCTACAAAGCAAGATGAAGTCTTAAAAAAAAAGTAAGACTTATAAGTCTTACCAGACTTTTCAGGTAATTCCTCTCCATCATGCTTGAAAACCATGTTCCCCAGTGCTCTCTGCAACATCCATAAGGGTTTTCAATTCTGCAAAACATAGGGGCTGGAGGTGTGTCTCAAATGTAAATCATCTGCCTAGCAAGCACAAGCCCTGAGTTCAAACTCTAACACAGCCTCTAGTTTTGAAAATGACTTCCTTTTAGGTAGAAGACTCTTAATACCTCCCCTCCCAACACACACACACACACACACACACACACACACACACACACACACACATTTTCTCTCACTCTCTCTTTCCCATTTTTCCTATTTGACTTTTACCTTCAGGTCTTATCTTAAGCATTATTACATAAAGGAAGGAAGTTTTCACTGACCCCTTCAATGGGCCCCTGCTGTATTCCCAAAGAGCTCAGTGCTCCCCTTTTCATAATATTCATCAAAATTATCATCACAAACTGAACAATAAGGGCAGGGATGCCTACCCAGCACAATGATTAAGAATTTCCTGGGCCAGGCATGGTATTTCACACCTGTAATTCTAGCTACTCAGGTTGGCTTGGGCAAAAGCACAAAAACAAATTAAAGAAGCCCTGAATTCAGTCTCTATTATCGTAAACCAAACTAACAAAACAGACAAACTAAAATGCAAAAGGATCAGCAGTATGGCTCAAGGGGTAGAGTGCGTGCCTAGCAAACATGAGGCCCGGAGATCAATCCCCAGTATTGTAACATAAAATTTCTCAACACTGAGTGTTCAAGGTCTCCACAATATGAAACAGGGTTTACCATTCCCCAAATGCCTCACAAAAGCATGTTTATCTGCTCCTTCCCAAACAAGCCATGTAATTTGTAGTGTCCTTATTTCTGTAGCTTTCTGTACAAGCCTGGCTTCCCTACATCTTTCAAAATGCTACCCGTTCTTCCAAACCCATATGCAATTCCATCTTTTCCACAGATTTCCTCTACGTTTGGCCTTTCCCATCTTTGACTTTCTTCATGCATAAATATTGTATAATCTCCTTATGGTGTTTTCCTAATTCTGTCTACTTACAGTTACAGTATTTTTCTTACACTTATTATTGGTTATACCTTACTTTTCTCTATATCTCCTTATTGCATTTAGTATATATAATACATTCTTACATCAGAAGGTGCTATATAAATGCATTAGTTTGAATCTCAAAAAATCTATTATATAAAGCAGTTGTCTAAATATGTGGATAAAACAATCTTCAAAGGACAAAGACACCTGTGAAACAGATGGAGCCAAACAGAATAAGAAAAGCATGTTATGTGACCAATACCTGATGGAAATGTGTCTTATTTGCATCACAAATAATTACTTTTTAATCCAAGAGTAACCTTTATTAATATTATATTATAATTAAGATGCAAACATTTTTTCAATTTTGACATCTGAAAGCAAACAGAACTTATATCAAGTCTTATATAGCTGCAGAATGCAATGCCAGTGCTCAATTTTACTTTTGTGACCAGTTTTGATGTTTGCTGTACAAAACAAACCTCAAATAACATTATTTAGGTTTGCTTAAAATTAAACAGGGGGCTAGGGATATAGCCCAGCAGTGGAACACTTGCCTAAGCATATACAAAGTCCTGGGTTCAATCATCTCCAGCACAATAAAAGAGAGGAGGAATATACACATACACACATACAAACACACAAATATATATTGATACATATCACACATATCCACAGAATGGACCACAAAAATTATCAAGTTCAACTCATCAAACTTCCAGATGAGGAAATTAAAGACTGAGTTTCTTGGCTAAGATCACAAAACTAAGGCTAGGAAAAAGGTTCAGACCATCTGACTTCTACTCCAGCACTCTCCTCACCCTAACTTAATACTCACCTGAAGACTAGAGCACATTATTCTCAAAAATGGTCCAGTACTGAATTAAGGCCATTTCCACACTTTTAAGCATGCTCAAGAGAAACAAAAAGACTGAACAGTGAAAGAATGAAAAGGAATTTGCTTTATCTTTTCCAAGAACCTTGCATCTTATAAAGTTAGAAATGAACACTACTTCCTAAGCTTTGAGGACAGTGTTTGTGTTCAAAGACACAGAGAGGCAAGAAAAACATGACAGGAAATTACATACAAGTTCAAAAAATGGATGACAATTTTGACACATAATGGAATATGCTACATATAGCCTTCTGAATGCCATATTATCAAAACTTACTATGACAAGAAAGATGGTGTTCCAGGAAAAAAGAAAACCTAGCCACTTATTTCTTAAAATATACATAAAACATGCAAATGTCTACCAAATATTTGTTATTAAATATTACATCTTACAGCTCTATACCTAATAAATGAAATACAGTAGAAACTTAGTTAAGTGTTTACATAAAAAGTTAATCTTACACTAGATTGGGTGGCACAAGTCTGTAATCCTAGCACTCAGGAGGCTAAGGCAGAAGGACCATGAGTTTGAGGCCAGCCCGGGCTATACAGCAAGACTCTGTCTCAAAAAGTCAAAATAATAATAATAATAATCACCATCTTAATATCACCTAGTGCTATTCCTGAATACTGTGGCTGGACATCAGTGACTATAAAATGCTGCTACTTGTACTATAAAAACAGTAAGTATCAACAGTGTGTATCAAAGGGAAATGTTGCCAAGGCTAAAACACTTACTATATATGTGTATTGGTATATATGTGCTCTCCCTATAATACGTATGTATTTATATTCATGTATGATTGCCATATATTTTGTTATTATTAATTTTACCTAACAATCTTGTGCTGTGGAACAGTGATTTTCAAGCTTTCCTGACAGCAATATAAAATAAGAAACGGGTTTTACATCATGACTTAGTAACACACATACACAATTCCTTGAAGAGCAATCCAACTGCACTACTTCCAGTCTTTACTCCTCACTAATGCAGGGATAGCCACCTGGAGTGAGAACAAGCAGATTATCATTTGAGGAAGTTTAAGGTGAAGAGTGAGAGAACCCCTCCCCAGCTCACCTCCTTTCTTAAGTCTGAAAGGAGCCAAGGAATCCAAATAAGAGTATGTTGTCATCAAAGGACACAGCCATACAAACAGTATGATATGAACAGAGAGCAGTGGTAGAAATACCCAGGTAGAGACAACACAGGAGGTTGTGGGATCATGATGGTGGGATAGGCAGCACTAGACCTTTTGCTTCTAGATGGGAGCTTCCTGAGGACAACTCCCGAATGTGGTAGCCTCTTTTTAATTTTTTTCACAATTTTTATTAGTGCATTTTAGTTGTACAATGTGTGGGGTTCATTGTGTGGCAGCCTCTTATTACTGTTTTATGTGTATAACTGAACTTTTATAGATCCATTCCAGAACCAAATTAAATACAGAAAAACCTCCACTTTTCAAAGGCCATTTAGACCAAGACAGTCTAGAAATAGAACCTGTCTTTCTTTCCTATAGACAAATTTTGAGGTGGCCTGAGAACTCCTCTGATACTCACATTCCAAATCTGAGTTATATTATATATTCTCATATCATCTATTTCAGCATTTCACGTGTGAGAAGAGAGGGAACAAGTTTTTAATGAAATATCAGTTCACCCACTATTTTTAAAAGGAGGGGAGGGTTAACACATTAGTAGGTAGCCATTAACTCAGTTTGTGAACTCAGTATTAGGTTAGTAGCACATAAAGGGCTCACATGTTTTCTATGCGTATTTCAGGGAACCGATGGAGTAAGGATGCTACTCTGCCTTACTGAAGGCAGCCCCACATCCTTTTTATTTTCATGTGTCTGGCTTCCTAAAATAGGCATAACCAGTCTTACTTAGTTTGATGCTATTTATTTTCACAGAGAAAGAAATCTCAGAACTTTTAAGCTATAGGTTATTTCATATTTTTACACCTTTATTGTATTAAAGAAAAAAAGTAAATATGGGGGCCAAAGAAATACAGCTTAATTATAAAGACTGAAAAGCTGAAAAATTCACATTGTAGCTTATTAGAGAAAGAACATTTTTTTCCTCTCATCTTAAGGCAAGTCATTTATCTAACGAAAAGCATAAATACTGTGTTCCTCCTCTTTTTTTCCTTTTCTGAAAGAACTAGAGTTTGAATTCAATCTTGCAATCTGACTAGTTTACTATTCAAAGCCACAATGGGAACCAAACAATTATATCAATTTGAAAACAATTATCCTAAATGAAATGATGCTTTTGACAGAACATTCATGAACTACAACCAATTTTTCTAAAACTTTCTCTTCTAAAAGGATACTCTTGGAGGAGAAAGTTTTAGTGGCACACAAAGATGAGTGAGGTTACACTACACACTTAAAATGTTAAACGATCCGTTATCATTTCTTTGCAGTAGAGGTGACAACGCATAATCAACACACTGAGCAATGCATCAGTGACAATGATTAAATGTGCCAATGTCTTAATTATAACACTACTTTACATCTGTACTGAATATTCCAGTTTGCAAAATACTCACAATAATGAACTCATTTGACTCTAAATTTCAGTTTAAAGACAATAAATACAAGATATGAGTCTATGAAGCCAACTGTCTGGTTTGGAATCCTAGTGTTGCCACAATTTAGTTATATGATCCTGAGTAAACTCCTTAATATATCTGTACCTTCATCTCATCATCTGTAAAATGGGAATCATATTGTTTCTACCTCTTGGACCTTACAAAGATTTAAACCAATTAATATACGTCAATAACTTAGAATAGTGTCATGCACGGAGTAGCCATTAGATACATGCTGGTTGTTGTTATAAGCAGCAATGTTGTATGAATAAGAAGACTGAAGTTAGTAAGCCACAGAACAAATGAATCTTCTTCCCCCAGTTGATAAGCCATCCACAGAGGGATAGGTTTTTTAAGCATCCTGTTTACTAGACTGACATAGACAGTTCTATGATTCTATGAATCAAAAATTCAGCAGCTCTAAACATTTGCAAAGTTGTATTTCAATCTATGTTCATATACTTTAGATTAAATTGATTACAAAGAAACCCCCAAATATTCCATTTCTGGAATCATATGCAATCTACTTTATTTTAGTTTGTGATATGGAGGATCAAATCCAGGGCCTTGTTGTACATGCTAGACAAGTGCTCTCCCAGTGAGCTGAACACCTACTCCTAAATGGAATGCTTGTGAGATAGTACTATACACTACGGAATACAGTAAGCCCACCTTATTTGCAAGCATGATCAAAAATAAATAAATAAATAAAAGAAATTTAAAAAACAAAAATTCCAAATGTCTGCACATATTATATAGTTATTTGATGCAGAGAAGCTCAGTCAGCCCCTTATAGTCATGTTTAAATCACTGTGGGATCTGCTGTGTGTTTCCTTGCCTTTAATTTTGAGAAAATACAATAGGGCTTCCAAAAAACAAATGGTGCCCAAAAAGCAAATTAAAAGTGAATGTGTTTAATTAAAGTGATAATGTGAAAATCTGAGATTTGTTGAAAGGCGACATGTCTTTAGATGATGTTGGACAGTGTTACAGGAAAAATGAATCAAACATCCACAGTACAGTGCTGAATTCTATGCATCCTTAGCATGTATGAGTTTTCCTCCACAGTGGTCTCCTTAGAACCACAGACCTATAGATACCAAGGGTCTACTGTAGTAATGTATGCTGCTGTATCTATAAAACAAGTCTTTTGTTTCACTTTTCAAGAGACAGACAAAAGAGGCATAACCATGCTGGTATGATGGTCATCGCCTAAAAGTCTTTATCAAATAAAATGAATTTAGATGGAAAGGGAGTACAATGATGATGTCAGTATTATTATTTGGGTTTTTTTTGTTGTTTTTTGGTTTTCAAAACATTCAACATTGTGATACAATAATTGTAATTTAAAAACTGATTCCAAAACAAAGTGTATCAAGGACTAGTAGAAGAAACAGAAATTAATTCTAGAAAACAGATGCATGGCTTAAAAGCTTTTTTTTCCAGATGCTTTAGGTTTCTTTCCTCAGATTTTGTTCAACCTTTTTCTCTTTAGTGATTTAGATGACTACAATAACATCTTTCACTGTGTCTAAAAATAGGGCATAGGTGTGTAAATTTATGAGCTGAAATGCAAAACTGGCACAGGATGTCTAAATTAGAACACTAAATCATTTAGTATATTCTAGCACAGAAATACATTTTAAGCAATGATAGCCACATGCTTAGTATATTTAAGTTTAATTCGGCTATCTTTATTCTTTTCATGGGGGAGAAATGTGAAACAGAGAACTTCACTCTCAAATATGCCAAATCACTTCTTAAGAGATTAACCTTTGGGAACTACTTTGCCACTGCAGGCTTTGGTTCCTTCTTCAAATAAAGAGAGCAGACAAGAATCATCAGTGGTTCTCAACCTTCTTTCCATCTCAGTCTATCCAAAGAATTCAACATCTCTCTATTTATACAGTGGATATAGTCTGAAAATGACCCACAGTTGACTTTGCTGCAAGGCCCTAGAAGCTGTTGTCCTGATGGCACCTGTGCTACACTACTGCAGACTTTGAAGTTCCATATGCTTCAAGGCTTGCCATACTACATTTAGGAACATTACAACCCAATGAACTAAAGTTATTGCATCTGATTGTCTTGAACACACTTAAAAAAGAAGGTCAAAAGTTAACAGGTAACTTCATATGATGGAACAGACGCGATTCAAATAAGAATCTGAGAACTGTGAGCTTTGTAGCTGTTCCTATGGCATATAGCATATCTGACCTGGAATCAAGGTGGAATTTGAAGGTGGAATCACCTTCAAATCAAGGTGGTAATAAAGGAGGAAAACCAGAGAATCATGCAAAATAAACACCCCTAAGGTTTGACTGAATGGTCTGAGTGTGTGATTAATGTAATTTATGTAAGTCACCTTGTCTGAATAGAAAAGAGAAGCCAACATTCGACACACAGGAATGTGATGTTTTATGATTCCTAATTTCTTCTAAATAATTTGTCACAGGTTTAACATCAATTCTACGTAAGTGATTTTTTTTATTGGACAACTGTTATAACAACCAATAACTATGAAAAATGTGGACATATGAAATGTAAGGCAAACTCACTGGTTCAGCAACGATGATTGACAAGAATTGCCAAGCATGGTATTTACAAATGATGTCCATACTCCTCTGAATACCCACTTACTATGGATGAATTTCACAGTACCTAGCTATTGTATGTGCAAAGTCATGTGAAAAATCCTCCCAACTAGTAAAGAAGGAAATGGAATTTTAAAACTTCCTTGGAAAACATGTGCTGTCTGATCCAAATGTGAACAAATATTACATCATCATTAGTAAGTATGTAAGGTATGGTAAAGACGCTGACTGGGGTGGACAAATCAGGACTATTTATATCAAAAATGTGTAATTGCATTATCTTCAAAAGAAAACATTAATAACAATAAATGCTGATTGTTCACTGTACATTTTACAGTGAGATGACCCTTAAGAATAACAATGATGCACAGATTTAGTATTTGTATCAAAAAGAAACAAAAATTTGGCTGAGTCTGAAAGTTGCTGTCCTCTGTACCAAAAGACACAGCCAGTGGTGAGTCAGAATACAATGTATACATGTCTACCACCCTTCCAACACAAACCACTCTTGTTTTGACTCATAGTTGAAAAAGTCGGTAAAATTTTTGATAGGCATTGATTTCTTCTGAAATCTACTATAAACACATTGCCCATTGTTGGCTTAACTTGGTGAAAGTGCTCCCACACATTCAATGTTCCCAACACAGACTTGGGTCAGTGAACAAACAGCCCAACAAAAAAAATAAAAAGGAAATGCCAAAATCCCAATTCTGTGAGATGCTCACATCTGAAATTGTTGCATTAACAATATGAAGAAAAGATGATTCCTTACACATAGTTGAGATGAGTATTTGTTGACTGAATACATGCATTTCTTCCTCATTCTATAGCCATGTGTCAAAACATCAAAACAATTTAATTTATGGCCATTTCTGTTGTGTCTACAACTTTATATAGAAGTTTATCATGAGGAACATAAACCTGTTTGGCTTGACTCACCATGAATCACAGCCAGGAGGTCATCTTGTTGTGTATCAGCAACTATGTTTTCACTAGCTATGTGACCTGAAGTGGCAGCAGCAAAGGCACCAAAATAGAAGGGGCAGGAGCCTTCTTCTGGCTTCTCAGCCCCAAATGGGCTTTCCCAGTCAATTCTGGCAACTGAGCAAGAGCCAACCGCAGAGCACAGAAAGAACAACCCCGACAGCACCGAGGAGAAAGGCTGCAGGCCCACCACAACCTTCCTTGCCCTCCCGGGGAGCCGGGGAAAAGCAAGAACATAACAGAGATAAGCTTAAGAAACAGAGTGAAGAAAACACAGCGTGACAGGGGACAAAACTAGCCCTCTGTAGGGCAGAATCCAGCCGTGACCATGAAGCACAGATTTCGGGAAGGGCTAGACATGGAGGAGCCTCCACCTGGAGATCCTGGGCGCAGCCCGGGCGCGAGCGTGCAGTGGCCCGGGTGTCCCAGCACCTGCGGCTACCCAGGACCTGCCCCGGTGTCCACCTCACCTGTCCGGGGCCCGCTGGCCAGGCCGGCACCTCAGACCCTTGTCCCCGCCTCGGTCCACCCTCCCATCCCTTGCCTTCCCGGCACGTCTCTAGGGACCAATGGGCAGGTCAGCCTGGGCAGGGGGCCGATGCCCGCCCCGCCGCCCCAGGCCCGGCCCGGGCACTCACTTTCTGAATCCGCTTCAGCGCCATCGGTCAGGAAGGGCGGCGGGGACACGGGGCGGCTGCGGGGCTGCGGGGCGCGGGGCGCGGGGCGTCGCGGGCTCGGCTCTCTGGCTGCTGTGCGGGCTCAGCCCGGTGGGTCCCCGGCTCGCCGTTCGCTGGCTCGCTCCGGGCGGGCGCCGGTGCTGCTCCGTGTGCGCCCGAGCGCGAGTGTGCGCGAGTGTGCGGGCGGGGACGCCGGCGAGACTCTTTTGTTTCCGCTTTTGCTTCTGGGAACGAGCCTGCGCCCTCCCGGCCGCGCCCCGCCCCGCCTGGCACACTGGGAAGTGTAGTTCCAGAGCTGTCCTCCGCCGCTGGGTCCCCGACGCCATCGAGTGACCAATGCTGACCTCACCCCCGCAGCCTGGTGCTGGAGCTGCAGGGCGTGGAGTTGGTTTTTTTTTTTTTTTTTTAACTGTAGCACAAGTTATTGAATTTGGGCCTGCGCATCTGTAAAATGGGGACCACAAATGAACTCCTAACTCATTTACAGGAGTTTCCAAATTTGCAAAGTTCATCATGCCTAATGCAATAGGTTTTACAGCTGATCTTACCTTTATCTTTGCAGATTTCACTCTCTTCTCAAACATGAATTGCCTCGACTTCTCACCCTCCATCCATGCACAGACTCCTACCTATTACGATTCCTTACTTATCTCCATAGTATTTCTGAGAAAAAAAAGTGCCTCCGTGGTCCAGAACAAATTGTGCGTTGAGGACTTGGAGGCATGGCTCAAGTTGTAAAGCTCCTGCCTAGCAAGCGAGGCCCTGTGTTCAAACCCCAGTTCTGCCAAATCGTGCATTGTCTGCTCCTGTACAGAACTCGGAATTCTGAGCTTCGCTGGTACCATTAGCTCCTTCCACCTGTCGACATTTTTCCAGTCCTTCGGGTCCTATGAACGTGTGTGCTTTCAGCATCAGCAGAATCGGTTTTCTCCAAGGTCACACTTGAGTTTCTAATCACTAAATTCAACTCACTCCTTATCCTCCACGATGTTTTTGAACTATCGGATTGACTGGCCACCATTTCACTCTTGCAAACGCTCATGGCCCCGCTGAATCCACAGTGCATAGTGATCGGGTCTCCTACTTCTCTGACTTTCCCTTCTGTGTCACTAGATCCTCTTCTTTAAGAGCGTTGGAATGCTCTAGAGTTACAGCCTGACCTCTAAGAGATAGAACTTGTGCCCTCCCCACACCCCTGAACTGGGAGGCAGTCCATCAAAGTCCAAGGAGCATGGACATTATGGATGAGCTACTCACACAGTTCTGCTTCTCCGGGCACATCGGTCCATCCTCCTTTTTCAGGTCCCCCGTTAGCTTCACTTGTACTCGACTTGGGATTCACTACTTACAGGGTAGGTGACCACCTGTGGTCCAACCAGCTGTGGAAAGTTTTATTGTTTCATTAATTAATTAATGTTGGTGGTGATGGGTGTGCACCTCATGCACGCTAAGCACACACTCCATCACTGAGCTACATCCCCAGACCCAACTGTGGAAAGCTTGAAGTACTTTCTGTCAAAGGGGCATCTGGAAAACACTAGCAAGGTCTTGCCATCTGCAGAGAGGCGTATTTGAGCTTGCTTGAGGCACTATTCTTGTGCTCCAGAAAGGGGAACATTACCTCTATGCTCTTCCTTTTTAAAAGGCAAGTGGGAGTGTCCTTATAAGTGAAGTTAAGAGAGAGATACAATCTGGCCTTGAGCACCAGCTGCTTGGGGGAATTGCATTCCCATGCGGATAGCATTTAGGTATCATATCAGGACAGAGGCCATGTTCAAATGCTACCACTATGAGAAATCACAAGTTGCATGACTTATTGCCAGGCAACTAAAAAAAAAAAATCTCCAGAGTAATTTCAAGGACAATCCTAATCATTACTCCATAGATGACAAAAATACACACTAAAGCAAGGGCTCTGGACAGGGCAGTTTTCTTCAAAAAGCATTGAAAGTCAGGGGACTGGCATGAAATGCTCCCTATTCCAGGGTATCCTGCACACTACTAAAGACTCACTAATAATATCACTATTGTATCATGGAAGCCCTATGTCTCAGCTTAGTGCAAAACACCACCACAATTTAGCACTAAATCCTTCTATCTTTAGCTCATACTCTACAATTGATAATGTCATGTGCCTCTGTGTACTCATTCACTCAGCACAAAATGACCTCCTACCATTTACCTGACAAACTCATACACATCGTTCTAGACCCAACTCAAGTGATACTACTCAACATTTTCCTCTACTTATTTACCAAGGTGATTTGTTAATATTTACATTATTCTCTTAATTACAAAAGCAAGATAGTCATACTTTAGAGATCTCCATTACCTTATTCATGTTGGTTGTCTCATTAGAACGTGAATCCTAAGGACTTATTAAAATGCCTTACATTTTTTTAGTAAGGTAAAATTTCCATATCATGAAATGCCCACAAATAAGTGTGCAATTTGATGAGTTTTGACAAATATACCTGTGTAATAATCAAGATACAAAATATTTCTATCACCACAGAAAATTCCCTTGTGACCAGGGACTGCCAATTATGGAAAGAGTGAACGTGGACAGATATGGTCCGTGCAATTTGTATATGTGTATGAAAAGAGAACAACAAAACCTGTTGAAATTGTTCTAAAAAGGGGGGAGGGAGAATGAAGGAAAATGATGGCGGGATGACTCTAATTAAGATACATTATAAGCAGGTATGTAAACGTCACAGTAAACTTCCTCCCATACAACTAATATATGCTAAGTTACTCTCCACCTTAAAAGGAAACTGCGGCTCTAATTCCTATCACCATACATTAATTTTGCCTCATCTTGAATGTCATAAAAATGGAAAAACACAATGTACACTATTTTTATGTTTGAATTTTTAGCTTAGCATTATATATATGTATACTTATGCATATATATACACATATAATATGCACATATATACATATACATGGGTTTTTTGAGACACGGTCTTGCTATGTAGTCCAGACTGACCTGGAACTCAACATCCTCCTACCTTGAGGTGTGCTGACCACAATACATGTTAGAATTAAGTGAATAGCTTTTTAAAAAAAGACCAATGTCCAGGCCTAAAGTATATGGCAGACTCTGGCAAGGGTTTTTCAATAGAGATTCTTTAAGTCAGTGGTTCTCAGGTTTTAACATGTTCTGTAGTAGTAATGTGTATCAGAGTTTCTGATGAAATAGGCCAGGGGTGGGTGGGTGGATCCCAGGAAGTTGCATATCTAACAAATTCCAAGGTGAGTTTGATGCTGCTGGTTCTGGGACCACACGTTGAGAACCACTGCTCTGGATCTTTGTACCTCCAAATATGGTCCATGGGCCAGTATCAACTGAGAACTTGTTAGAAATGAAGCATCTTGGGCCCCACTGCAGACTTGCTACATCTGACCTTGCAGTTTAATAAGTCACCAGGTGATTCAGGTGATCATTAAAATTTGAGAAGCTCCACGTGGGAAGCCACTGATATACAAGGAGCTGATAAAAATGCAGATTTCCTTTAAAAAATCTAATTTAGCAAAACTTGGGTGCAAATCTGGAGTCTATGTTTTTGAACAAGCTTCCCTTTAAGTTCTGAAGCAGATGTCTGAGGACAGCATTTTTGAGAATCTCCACCTTAGGCATATCTTTAAATCTGTTTAAACATCAATTTCCTTACTTATAATGAATGAAATAAATGCTGTGTTTGTTTAAAGTGAATGGAGCTAAAATTTTTGGTGCCCTTCCAATGTAAAGATCTATGATTTGTACCAAAGAAGTGACTTTTTGTTCTTTGCCTCACTGAAAAGAGAAGTTATGCTTTTAAAAACTCTACTTTGGCATTTTACTATAATAATTTGGGCTTGGGAATTACTTTAAACTTTTGAAAACATTTCACACATTTTTGCAACATGCAAATACATATGCAACATATAGAAGTTCAAAGTTTTTAGTCTCTCACTCTTTCTCCCAAAGCATGGTTTCAAAACATAGTTTGTAGTCAACTGCATAATTAATTCAAAAATATTTTCAAATAGTACATCAGCATTCCATGGGATGGGGAAGGTAAATGTGAGACTTCTTAAAATTGCAGATTTCTGGGCATCAGCCCACACTCTTAATAAACAATCCTTCCCCCAGGATTACCTCTATTTAGGGCACTACATTGTGCTAGGTGATGAAAATTTTAAGAAAGAAAGATTAGACTTAAAAATTGCATGGAAGGAAGATATAAAAAAAAAGACAATGAAACAAATAAGCAGCAATGCATATATTCAACAAAATTTCCTCAGAACCAAAATAAACGGTACTGGGAGTAAGGGCTGAAAGTGTTTTGGGACTGGAGATAAAGGAGACTTATCTTTTTTTGTGTGTGGAGATAATAGAATAAGGATAATAGAATAAGGCAATATTTGGACAAACAGAGGAATATACAAAAATTTTCCAACGTAACAAAGTGGATGTGGAAATGAGCATAAAATGTTTCAGATGGAGGCCAAGGTTCCTGTTGGACACTGCAGGAAATACAGCTAGATAAATCTAAAGTTTGTGATCTGATGTTGAAGGGCATGGATTGCCTGGAAATATGAACTTGAGCCTAAATGCAACAAGAGAAGGTTTTTTAATCAGGAGAGTGATATTTTGTGACAATGATGTTTTTAAATGGAAGATCAGTCTAGGAGGGAAACAGTGTGGACTACATAAGGAGAGAATGGAGAAGGAGAAACAAATTCAGCTGATATTCATTATTTGGGGCCAAAATAAGTGGATATGTAAAGATGGTGGTATAAGAAAGAGCACAAGGAAGAGCTCTGTGAAGAGAAGCCATGAACCTGACTACAATTAGATGTAGAGGCTGAAGGATAGAAAAGTAAATATAAACTGTAACTTTGTGAGAGTGGGTGAGTGGGGAAGGTACTAATATTGATGGCATTTAG